TACATCACATGTACTGATATACGTAATGAATACAATGATTTTCAACAGAATGACAATCATATCAAGAACTGAGGACTTATTTTTGATCATACACTTAAACTTGTTTAAACTTAAAACTATCTTGAGATCATACCTCTGCCAGTACTGCCATAGTGGATTCTTCATATCTGTCCTGTTCTGAGAGAATGCTCTCCATCTTATGAAATACATTGCTCTCCTGGTCTTCAAGCTCAGTTTTATCCCCTCCAGTCATTGCAGTACTAGAGACACATTGTTGTGAACTTGGAAAAGGGTAACCACTGTTCTGTTGCCCTCCTTGAGAAGAAGTGCCATCTACTGGTTTGTTGCAGCCTTTGGTGCTGTCATCTAGCAGTCCACTACCATTTCCTATGGCGAAGTGTCCCTGTGAAAAACATCAGTGGGTATTAATGAAAACAGAAATATATCAACATTACCAAAATATCTACAGTATGTAAACACACACGCACAGAGAGTACTTAAAAATGGTACTAAAGAGTTGAGCTATCGCCTGATGAGTTAATAAATATTGTCCAGAATGTTTGTGCTTACTTGTGAGCTACCCTGCACTGCCATCTCTTGACTGGGATTATCCCTAACACTGGCGCCATCTACAGTTGTGTATTCTTGCTGTCTTTCACTGTTGACAAGACCATCCATGGAAAACATGCGGGTGTCTGGTGAATCAGAGAAAAATATATATCACTGAATAGAATTTAAACCTTAAACTGCTGTCTGAGGGTAAAATGCAGAGACAGATGAAACATTTGTAAGTTTCTATGGCAGCAACCGGATGGGCAAAGGTGAAAAATCACATAGATCAAGTCTTCACCTTGCAATGGTCAATTTGCTTTTAGCAAAATTTTAGGTTTCTTGCAAACTGTTACCGCAAGTTTTCTTCGTATCATTCTAAAAAAATCAAAACATTTTCCCCCTCTGTCACCTCATTCACTTGTTATTGCTAAACGTATACAGTATGAATGCTACTGATTTCTCAACCAAGTTTTACATAACCCATCTCTTTATGTACGTCACCAACAAGTTTGCTCATACTGTGCTTCAACTTCAGTATTACACAGAAAACTCACTGATCATGTCACTTATGAAGGGCAAGGGTTTTAAGTGGCCATATTGATATCACAAAGGGTAATGCCACTCTCGTTAGTACATTTTCTGTATTTTCTGTAGTTTTAACTGAAATTAACACAAATGTAAATACTTTTGTGTCATTCCATAAAGAAAATCAGCCAAAACGTGGAAAGGTGTGGGTTTTGCCAGATTTTTTCCCATCTCTGTGTTTGGGTAACTGTTATAAACTAAGCAGGAAGCGCTCTTTTAGAAAATAAATTATTGAAAAATAATTCTTGCAGCCATTTAAACTTTGGGGAGGATGTGTGTGTCCCACTTTGAAAAATAGGGGAATGAAAATATGAAAGTTTGGAGTATGCGATCTGCAATGTTTTACTTTTCTACATTTATATTTTCTTTGCTTTTAAGATGCATGTCAAAACCTTTCAAATGACATGTAAATTTTAGTCGCTTATGTCACTTTGGTAATGAAATGAAATTGCCTTGATGATGACACCATAGTGGTTTTACCCTCCACCGTGAAGAGAAATTGATAGTAATTGAAGAATGGCTTAAAACAGTAATGTAATTATTATACACCACTGATTTATTTATCTATTTATTTATTTATTTATTTATTTATTTTTTTTATTTTGTGGTATGACCCTTACAGTTTTTAACACACTAGCTATCCGGAATCACAGCAAGGAAGTCACTTTTCTGACAAACAGTTGTCTCAAATAACCTTTACTCTAAGGCATGTAATTCCTACCTCACTACCTAATACTTTGAAGAATTGTCTGTTTTTATTGATAACAATTATTCCATTTATTGATATACGTGCAAAGTTGTATGAGCCTATAACCTGCAGTGTTGGAGACCATACTTTTTTTGAGGGGAAGAATCAACAGTGGGGTGGTTGGTTGTCAGTTAACAGGCTCAGTACAGGGAGTAAAATTTCATGATGTTAAATCTTTATTTAAAGCATATATATTCCCTTATTCAAACCCTTTAGATAACATTAGATTAGATTAGCGTTGATTTCCGATTCAGGTTCCTACTGGATCCTCTTTATCGGACTCTTCCTCCAAAGTTAACATGTGACTTCCGATGATGTTGATTTCGGACCTATAATTGTCATATTTGAGTTCCTGGTCATCCCACCACTTGTCTAATCTGTTCTTAAAAGAGTTGAGGCTTTTTGCCCTGACAGCTTGATCGGGTAGGCTATTCCATATTTGTGTAGTACGCACTGTGAAACTGTATTTTCTCAAGTCTAATTTGGCTCCTTTTTTTTTTTTTTAATTTGTTACAAGTATGCATGTACATATACAAGTTATTTACAAATATTGAATCGAGATATGCCAGGGGAAAACTGGTGCACATATTATGCACCCCATATTACAGCAATATATTGGGTATTTTTTAATTTTCTTCACAGTAAATCATATGTCCCTATGATACCTCACACCAGTTTTTGTTAATATCAGTTGACTTCTATCTTGCTACCATTTGGTAGGGTAAGATAAAGTTGGCCTTAACTTATTAATAAATCAATATAATCTGTTTTATCCTTTACTCCTCTTTTCAGGCTCTGAATAAAAAATCCCACTATTGGGGAATCTAGGTCCTAAACAATCATATCCAATATGTTATTGCAAGGCATTATTTTTAGACTATAAATAAAAGACCATTGCATACAAACAAGCCTTATAATGCAATATCAGACAAATAACATCATGGAAAAAAAAAATAAAAAGATATCTTAAATTAATAAACTGATGCTGGTACACAGTATTTCATTTTTATGAAATGTTCAGCAGTCTGACATAACTCTACCAGCATAAAAACAAAAGAATACTGTAACAGTTTTTCTGCAATTAAGTCAATATGCTAGTACCAACAAGTGTCTGAGTCACCCAACGTCTTTTCTATCAACTTCTTTGGATAATGGTCAAAATTGCTCAGCAAATATGACAAGTTTGTCACAACTTAATCAAACATCTTTGCCCAGTGACAATATACTAAATCCTTACCATCATTTTCTCCCGGTTCCAGCAGCAGAGGAACGGACCAATCAGAAGCAGGACTAGGGGGCAGCAGTGGCAAGGAAAATGGTAGGTCTCCCATGATGGGACACAGCCAAACTCTTCCAACTGTTTAATATCTGGCTGTTAGCACATCTGAAAACAAAATAGAACAGTTAGTTATATGTTGAAACTGTGGTATTGATAGTCAAGTACTAGTCAACAAATTGTAGCCTAGCAAAATAAATAAATAAATAACTACCCTCCCTCTACTAATACAGCCCTACAAAACAAGTGAATTATATTGTTTGAATTTACTGAGAAATTCAGGTCATCCAAGTTCATAGTCCAAAGTCTTGTGACCTAGCATAAAAACTGGTTTGTAGGTGATCGTGTGGGAAATATGGTTAAACTGTAATATGGTTACACAACTCTACATACACAGTTACTTAAACACCATGATTATAACATACATGGATTCTAAGTACACTGCACTAATTCACTATTCACCTTACCAAAAGCTAACATCCAATACCACATTCAACCTCAAGTGTATAAACTACAAATTTTACATTAAACATTACTGTGCACAACACCTTTTATTAGCATCTTAACATACCACAGAGACCTTATAAATATGCATTAGGTATAAATAGTCATGCACCTATACTAGTATTAGTATAAATTTTTTTTTAGATCAACACCAACCCATATAATTATAGATAATTACAAAATCACATCACAAAATTAAATGCATAACAATAATTTAGAAGTCTTAGGAGTAAAGGAAGGGTCAAAAACACTCAAAAGTGGAAGTCCATTTTATTATACTGGTAATATCTGATCAATATTTCACCATATTCAACCCAAAATACATTTATTTGTTTCAGAATGTATATATGTGTTTAGAGAGACCCTGGAGACATTTCTGAAAAGTAGGGTATTTATTTTGTTCAGCTCAGAGCACTCAAGTAGAGGACTCAAACCTTGCTAAGTATTCTATTTCAATATTTTAACAGCTTAAAAACCAAATGTCATGGATAAAATCATGAGGATCAATAAAAAATGGCCTTGTGACTATTTCACTGTGGCTGGTTCCCCCAATTTTTATATACTGCAAATGCACATATATATATATATACACACCCGCACATATACACATTAGCATTACAACACACAAAGAAAGCAATGCCCCACATACTGTAAACAAGTTTATAATAGTTGCCACACACTAACATATATATTATATACAAAATGGTATACAGTAACACACTCAAACAAGCTTAACCAGATATATCACTAGATACACATGCAGAACACATTATTATTATTATTATTGAGTACACACACACACACACACACACACGTAAGGACCAATATACACAAGAACACATATGTGAGGTCATCACCTTAGCTTACACTTTAAAACTTTGTTATTATAAATCTCAAGAAGTGTACTAGTATCAGACTGACCTCTATACTGAACTTCAACATTGTCCTTTTGTAACAAGACTGTAGCCTCTGGAATATACACCCAAGAGTCTTCTAGTTATAACTTCCAATTATTTATTTAAATTTTTGGCATTTTTGGCAAATAATAACCAATTCTAAGGGTACTTCCATAATTACCTAAATCAAGGTATTTATAGGAATTAACTGGGATCAAATTCTGAATTACTGAAATCAACCTCATTATGCATAGTATACATTGTATTTATTCAGAAAATTGACATGCGTTCTTTGTAAAATCTCCATTTCTTGATACTGAGCTTTAAATAATAATTATAATAATATTAAAATTAATATTAAATTGTTGATTTTGGTAATTCAAGAACTGATTCTATTTGATTCAGGTAAAAACCTTGATTACGGTATTATGTAAGACAGCAATTGTAAAACAGTTCTATATTTATATATAACAGGTGCCCTTATGTTGTATACTGTAACTAATATTTCAGATAAACTGTGACAACATATAATTAAAGCTCAAAAGAAATTGTGATTAATTTAGCATAAAAGCCACAGACAGAGGTCCTCTCCTAGTGCTATTTTAAATTAAAATTTCAAAGGTCTTATTTAATCCAGCAGCACACCATGTATACAAACATTAATATATATCAAACAGAAACATGCAGAGTTATACTGTCTAGTAATCATACATACTAAAATCACTTCCAGTGATAAATAAAATGGCACAAGTGGCTTGATATGTCTTTCCAGATTAAAAGGTCATCTTTAAAAGGTTATATCTACAGAGCAATTGAATACATACATTATCAGCATTGTACATGTCACCATGCATATGCACCTAGCAGATTTACCACAAGATGGCTATGCGGAGGCCATATTGAAAATAATATTAGACATCCTTGTATTCAATCCTGTTTGTAAACTAGCCCCCTCTAAGTCAACCTCACTTCAATACAAGTTGTTACAATGGCTTAAGTAAGATGTTATCAACATAATTAGCCAGCGTCTACCTTAGCAGAGGGTTGAAATGTAGAAAATTATTATCCTTCCCACCCACTTGTGCAAATTTTCCTTTGTGTCCTTCAGCCGACTTCCTTATTGAATTTCTAGAAATTTCTCAAATGAAATAAAACATATTGAACCTCTATATCTTCCTAAGGTAACACTCTACCTGATTCAAAAATCACTTTTTCTGTTCCTTTGACTGTTTTCTTTCAAATGACTCTGGAATCCTTCAGAAATTTTTTCCACCATGATTTTCTTCAGTCTGCATCACAGGTGCTATTTATAGCTCAATGCCCTGGCTGTATACATTAGTGAGCTCTTTCATGCAGATCTCTCACAACACTTTGCTCAAATAAAACTACACATTTGTCCAGAGGGTGGATATCATAAAATTCTCATATTGAACATGGATATTTGAATTTTACCTAAATAAGTGAAACCAGAAAATCTTTAAGGTCATTGACGTTGTTTTTTTCTCAGCAAGCTGCATTGATCATGTTGACTGGAAAAATGGACTCTCCCATTCTGAGGGGTGGAAGGTCCTTTGTCTACAGGTTACCAATGGGCATTTTAGTTTGGGCTATCAATGGGATCAGGGGCACCCCTTTATTTGTAGCCAAGTGTCGCAGGGTTTTAAGAGCAGCAAGTCTGATGCCCTTAGCTGTCTTTTGTTGCATGATTCTGGGGAAAATTTTGTTGTAAATTGTTACTGATTTTTATTAATGAGACGAATGAGTAAATTAATGCACCATGCATGCAGGCCATCAGTTTTTGTGAGGATTTTGTTTGACACACCAGTTACAATATATATGATGTACATTGAACATAAAAATTGTTTATAATAATATTATTAATAATAAATATATGATAATAATAATAATAAAATTGCTCTGAGAGCAAAGCAGCTTGCAAAATTAGTGTTTAAAACACAAATTAATAAAAATCTAGTGGTTTAGAGACTATTCAATGGGGAATACCAGCC